AAACATTCAGCTTGCTGAAAGGTTGGTTTTGGAATCAATGGAGGACGAGAAAAATATGCCAATAATATGGGAACCTCATTTGGTGGAAGACCTTACTGGAATTGAAGTGGTAGACATTGCATGTGGACTTGATCATTCCTTGGTCCTTTGCCGTAAGTAACAATGGAGCTAATCACTTTCATATTACTACCCAAACATCTGTTTATATTTGTTTGATGCCAATATCAAATTCTCAGGTGATGGCACCCTCTTAAGCTGTGGAAGCAACGTATATGGGCAATTGGGAAGAGTTAGACAAGATTTGGGGTTGTTACCGGTTGATTCAAGTTTCCATGTAAAATCTGTAGCAGCAGGGCTCGGTCATTCTCTGGCCTTATACCAAGATACTTCAAATAAAGAGATAAGTGATGTGACAAGTATCATCTCATGGGGATGGAATCAGACGTCTCAACTTGGAAGAGAAGGACCAAACAACATCCCGTTGGCGATTGAAGGATTAGCAGGGGAAATACCTATATCAGTGTCGGGAGGTCGTGCACATTCAATTGCTCTTAGCTCTAGGGGAGAAGTATGGGTTTGGGGATGTGGAAGGGACGGTAGACTTGGGTTGGGGAGTTCCAGTGATGAATCTGAGCCAGTTTTTCTGGATAGCCTCGAGAATTGCAACGTCATGCAAGCTGTGTCTGGCTTTGACCATAATCTAGTACTGGTTGTTGACTGATGTGGTTCAAATCTAGTCTTGCTGGCTATAGTTTGTTCCTTCGAATGTAGTGACTATGAATCCTTCTTGCATCCAAGGGTACTAGAAGAAGCATTTCGTTGGTACCTATAAGTTTATTGGGCTTTTTGTGCTGATTGAGTTAGACTCTAGTTTACCCCATCTTAATAGTCAAATTAATGTTTGCCATAAAACTTGGGCATGGAATTTCTAAAAGTAAGCCTTTATTTGATCAAGCTTTTTGTAATTTGGTTTCCTGTTCCTCAAACGCATCATTGATTTGGATTTATGAATGAATACACTTGATAAAGAATGAAAGCAATATGCAATGTTTTGGCATCTTATTATAAGTTTAAGTCGCAAAGAAATTTCCTGCAATTTGAGCAGGACTCTAACGAACACTGTGTTTTCCACGCACATCTTTTTCTTCTCTTGTTTCTTCCTTTTTTCCAGGTACAAAGGCTAGCATGGTGGAAGATCCTTTGGGGGCGGAAGAATGGATTGATCTTTTCCAGGTCCGTCTTCAACAACAAATGCTGTTTTCAGACCCCATCCTGTATGGACCTCGAGATGGCAGTGCATGAACCAGACTCCTGTAAGTTCATCAAAATGATATGAGCTATATATATATTTAGCTAGAAGTTATTGTTCATTTTTTAAAGTCAATACTCACCTGGGTTGTCGGCTCTAAATCGGATGGCGGTCCATCCTCCAGTGGGAACTCCAACTGTGTTTCTCTCAATTGGATCGACCAAGTTGTACTTAGCTGGATCTTTGGCTGGATCGAAGTTTCCGATCCCGGTTCCAACGACAAAAAAGTTGTAGCCATGGAGATGGAATGGATGAGACTCGACAGTAAGAAGATTGGTGTCCTGGAGTACCAGCTCGACTGTAGAATTGAATGCAATTTTGCCAAGCCTTGTGCCCACTGCGGTTCTCAGATTAGCAGTCAGTGGTGCTCCAGTATAGTTGAATGGAGTCGGAGGTCTGTCTGGGAAATCAGCTCTAAATACTCCACTGATATTGAAGTAATGAGATTGAAGAAGACCAATTTGGGGCATCACAAAAGAGATGTTGTTTAATGAAGCAACTAATTGGGTTCCATTTATGCAAGTGGGGCAGGCGTTTTGGCCCAAACCGATCGTGTAGAAAAGCTTTCGATCAACTTTGAGTGGAACATTAGCAGGATATTGAGGTGAGTTCAAGCTTTTGATCTTTTTGTTGTAGCTCAAAGCAAATGACGAGTCATTTGAGGCCGGCAATTGAGGAAGGACTGGGAGAATTGTGTTAGGGATTCCTTTATATTGGAGAATACCGGTGGCTGTTTTGTTGTCCACAGGAATTGGAACGTCCATGAACGACCTGGAAGCCATGAAGTATCTATTTGGTGGTTGGTTGGCTTGCACCAAGACATTTGTGGTCTGTCCTGGTGCAATTAGTATAGCTTGTGTAGTGAAGGGTTTCGTGTAAACTGCATCAACCTCCACAACCGTCATGTTGTGACCAGCAATCGCAAAGAAAAGCTCGTCGTTGAGGGCAGCATTGATTATTCTCAAGAGATACGTCTTTCCTGCTTCAACCTCCATCGCAAAAGTATCTGAAAATGAACCACAAACAAAAACCGAATCAGTATCAGTGCTCCGTTCACTGTAACTTGGTTGTTAGAGACTCAATAGCTTTCTTACGTTTCTCTGAACAAGGGAAGAGTGGCCCTGGCTTGCCATTGATTGTGTGAGCATCGGACATATTTGGTGGCACGCCCATGCTGGATCCTTGGTTGACAATGGCCTCAACATCATTATTCCACCATTCTCCTGCACCAGAGGTATCAATTCCATCTTTATTTTTCATTTTCTTGCAATGATCCAAACGCTATAATTTTAAGTAAACTTTCTCATCTAACCCAGAAGAATTTCAAATTCTCTGTTTGGCTGAGGAAATGGATAAGGTGTTCCTTGCTTGGGCAATATGACAATTGCACCATAAACAGTTGCCCTTAGCCAAAGAATATGTGCATGCCACCATAATGTGCCTCTTTGTCCTGTGACGTTAAAATCATAGGTATAGCTGCTTCCTCTTTGAATAGGACATTGTGTAATATAAGCAGGTCCATCCGCCCACCCGTTTCGATACTGCTTCAACCCATGCCTGCAACATATGCAGGAGACTGAGATAAGAAGCCCAAGTAATGAAATTTTCACTCGTGTTATGCAAAAGTCATTTCTCATTATTACCAGTGAATTGACATGTTATGCAAAAGTCATTTCTCATTATTACCAGTGAATTGACATGTTATATTGAGCATGGTTTGTAACATTAACAAGAACTCGATCTCCTTCTTGTACATATATCGTCGGCCCTGGAAACCTTCCGTTTATGGTGACAATCGGCTTCGCATGGCATAACCTACTGATATTCTGCACTTGAACCTGACAAACAAAATCTCAAAAGAAAGGTAAGCTAAACAGTAGAACTGAATCAAGATTCAAAATCCTTGTATCCATATGCTACATCTACAGCTATTGAATGAATATACTAACTCACATCAAACTGATATCTCTTTATAGCAGCCTCTACAGAAAACGAGATCAATCCAAAACAACAGGCAACGAAGACAAACGTTAGACGACGAACAAAGCAAACCAAGCTAGCCATTGTCATTTGGCAATGGTTCTCTCTTCCAGAGGTAATGCAAGTATGAATGATGAATGAATGATTTAAAATGTGAAGAATGTTAAGTATTTATACCATTTAGAAAGCTGCGCTGATAAGAAGGTTTGTTTGTGAGAATAAGTTGGTAGGAATGGTGCAAGCGGCTCCATAGCCAAAGCTTGCAAGCAAGATACTGATAGAGACTTGCCTTGCCTTGCTTTTGACTAGCTTAGAGGCTGAGATTTCCAAACCAAATAGAAGTGTTAGAATATTAGTGACCCTACCTTAGTTATGCACAAACAGGCTATAGTAAAAGGTTGATTAATCATAGGGATTGGAAGGTGTAGGGCCCAGTGTTAAATGTTTGGACTGAAAGTTAAGGATTGAAAAGAGGAAATTAGTTGGAGAAGAGGAGCATTTACTTTAAAGCTTCTTTTTTCCCTTTTCCCCTGAATTCATGGCTACATTGCTTATAGAGGAGCTCACTTATTTTCCTAACCTTCTTGGTAACCACTGGACCTTTGCTTTTCACCCATTCATTCAGCCCACCTACAATTTTTAACCCCCTTCAAAAAACCATCAACCTTTTTAAAAGCTATTGTTTCTTAAATCATGTTTTATAGAGGGATTTCGATCCTTATGTGGAAGTGGTCCGTGTCGAAAGTACTTTTTGTTACTGGTTTGTTTGGTTGTTCTGATGTCAATAATCGATAAATTTATGATAACTTTTTTGAGAATCTAGTTTTTTTCGGGTGGTTTCTTTGGTTACCAAAGAGTAAACGCTCGAGTTTTTTTTTCTTTTTTAGTTATAAACTTTCTCCAAACAAAACCCCTACCCCTCTCAATTTTTGTATATCATCTTCATCTTCTTTCTCTCATTTTATATATATATATATATATGAACGATCAAGTTTCTTATCTTTTTATTCATCGGATCAACCCAATAATGATAGGCTAGAGGGATAGGCTCATTCGACTAATTAGTGATCTATGACCCTACCTAAGATAGAGATGCCCCTGAAACTAGGGGATTGGTTGATCGGAAAGCTCGGGTAGGAGTAGGACATTCCGTAAAAAAATTTCTTCTCCTATCGCAGGTGGTCCTCTCCTTTCTTTCACTTGGTAAAACGGCTTCGCTCCTCTCCAATCCAAGGAGCCATTGAAAGGTGACTGAAACACTGGAAACAACTACTACAAGTTGATGCCAACGACTCTAACGAGACCCCTTGACCCCACTCCAACCTCTATTCCAAGTCCGCTCACTCTTGTTAAGATCACTTGCTTCATTCTCATTTTCTTCGACACCTTCATCTTTAGAATTCTCCTTACTTCATCAAATGGAGTAAAAGATTCCTTACTGGATGTATTTCCTCTTCGATGCTAACTAGACCTTCTAATCATTTTTATAATGAAATTATTAAAAATTTAGATATATTTTTATAAATAAATATCAATTATTTTCCTCTCAAATTAACTACAAATATAAATATATATATATATTTAAGTTGGGAGAGAATTATTGAAGGTTTGATAATATTTTTTAAATTAGAACGATTACATATATTTTATATAATTTAGCCAATTGAATTTAATATTAAACATGAAAAAGGAAAAAAAAAGAAGAAAAAAGAATTGAAGAAGAAATTGGTTGGATCCGTTCAAAGCTCGAGAAGGGTGTGTGGCATGTCTTCTGATTGAAGCTCTCGCCCTCTGGTGGTGACTAAGCACTCCTTTGCTTCGTTGTGCGAGCCTCACCCTCTTCTTCATCCTCTTCTCCGCTCCTTTTTTCCACTTCCCGATGGCGATGCTTGAGGCTCTTGCTACAACGACGAGCACGGGATCTGGGGTTTTGATGTAGCCGAATTGCTGGTTCTTATTCGAAAGTTTCATGTCTGGTCGTGTTTCTCGACTCGATCCATGCTCTTCTTCTGATCCGAAAGTTTCTGCTTTCCCAACGAGCTCCTGGATCCTTTTTGAGGGGGCATTGTGGACGAGGAGTTCTGAGTTTGAGCTGTTTTGTGTTGTCGATCTGCCTGATCTTTGAACAGGTTGGTTTCTTCTTCGAAATTTTTAGCGGCATTTTCGTATCTGTGAGGGTTTTCTTATGAAGTCGATAATCTATATGTGAGATCACTGAATCAGTAATTTTTCGGGTTTGAAAGATTCTCGGATCCCTGCTGATAATTTGTGACCTAGCCTCGAATTCTTAGTCGACATTTACGAAGATGTCCCGATATTGACTGGAAATTGGAGGAAAATGTTCATTAGAAGGCGATATAGCTTAGTAATTTTTCCTTCGAGGTTGAATCTGCCTTTGTTTTTCTCATATTCTATTACCAAATTAATGATGAAATAGCCGTAGCATATCCTTGGAATCATAATACTCTTTCAATTGGAGTAAGCATCGATGTTGCAAGTTCAGTTCGTTAAGTAAGCGGTATGAATGGCTGCACTAGTTTAGCAGATAGCTGCAACATTGGGTCATGAAAATACACATTTAAGCTTTTTTTCACTTTGGTTTGCTTTGTCATTCAACTTTCTCCATTTATATGTTTGTTTTAGTTAGGGTGGTCGGTGACTGGTTTGATTTTGACATAAAGGGTGCTTGCTTATGCTGGAGAAAGATGTCGTTTAAAAGTTTTGTTAGAGAGCTGCGAGAGATTAAAGATGGAATTGGGAGCATTTCGAAACGAGGAGAAGAAGGGAGTAGGCATTGGCGCAACCGAACAATGTCACACATTGCACCTGATCAAGAAGAACATTCTCCATTGGAGTTAATTCAGCAAGGTCGATGGGCAAATCTACCCCCCGAATTACTTCTAGACATCATCCGGAGAGTGGAAGAGAGTGAAACCTCATGGCCTTCTCGAGCTATAGTCGTTTTTTGTGCTTCAGTTTGTAGGTCTTGGAGGGCCATTACAAAGGAGATTATCAGAACTCCTGAGCAATGTGGAAGGCTCACATTTCCAATCTCATTAAAGCAGGTATTGGGTTTTTATCCCTTTTCCCTTATTCTTAGCTAAATCCTTTCATATTCTGATTCTCTCTGATTTTCGTTTCACAACTTCAGCCTGGCCCTCGGGAGTCTCCATTTCAGTGCTTTATCAGAAGGGATAGAGCAACTTCGACCTACCTCCTGTACTTCGGTTTGGCTCCTTGTAAGTCGTGTTTTTAGTTTTTTCACAGTTTAGTATCGTGTCGTTTGTGAATTTGAAGGAAAAACCGCACGGCTTGTCCAGCAGTTTTAGATATCCAAGGTTATATGTAAAAGATGGCAGGGTATTTGCAATCATCTTGCTTCTAGACATCCATTTTTCACTGTTGACAATTCTATAAATCTTTCTTTATTTCCCTTGGCAATTCCTGTTCTAAGATGAACAGTTCTTGATGGATGATAATGACTAATTAGTTTGAAATCTTTTGGACGATATTTTTGAACCATGTCGCTTATTATTATAGATTCATTAGTTCCTAGAACAAAAGGCATACGTGATAGACCACTTACTCATGCCTTGGTGGAAATAAACTTTTGGAAAGTTATGGAATGTGAATGCTTGCTTTGACTCATGACAAGCATTGAATTGACAGCGGAGGACGAAAAACATAAACTGTTGTTAGCAGCCAAGAGGGTCAGAAGAGCAGCCGGTACTGACTTTATCATATCTTTAGTAGCTGATGATTTTTCTCGAGCAAGTAGTACCTATGTTGGTAAATTAAGGTGAGCTTTAATGGAAATAGACTTTAATTCTTGTCTTTGCATTCTTCTCATGATAATTCACTTCACAAACATTTGTCAGGTCTAATTTCCTGGGTACGAAGTTCTCGATTTATGATAGCCAGCCTCCTTGTGACCCTGCAGCTCAGCAAAGTAGTCGATCAAGCCGTAGATTTCACTCTAAGCAAGTCTCTCCTAGGGTACCTGCATGTAACTACAGTGTAGGTACAGTTTCTTATGAACTTAATGTTCTTCGCACTAGAGGTCCTCGGAGGATGCAGTGCGTCATGCAAACGATTCCAGTTTCTTCAATTCAGGAGGGAGGCACTGCCCCAACACCTACTTCATTCACACACTCTGATGACCACCTTTCTATCGAGTCCGATTCTATGAGAAAGGATTCAGGCAAGGACTTCGGCTCAAAGACCCCATCAGAACCAGCAGTTCAGGGATCAGATGAATCGTTAGTGCTTAAAAACAAGGCACCAAGATGGCACGAGCAGCTGCAGTGCTGGTGCCTAAATTTCAGAGGACGTGTGACGGTGGCATCCGTTAAGAACTTCCAACTCGTTGCAGCTGTTGATGAATCTCACAATGTTTCAGTGGAAGAGCAAGAGAAGGTAATTCTCCAGTTCGGAAAAATTGGAAAAGACATCTTCACCATGGATTACCACTATCCGCTCTCTGCATTCCAAGCCTTTGCAATCTGCTTGAGCAGCTTCGACACGAAGCCAGCCTGCGAATGACATCCTGCCATGAATAGCGGTCATCGTCATCAGAAGAAGGTAAGGATATGGTTGAGCTTGTTGGGAAGAAGAACTACACAAGCAGTGCATTATTGGCAGCTGAGAAGATGACTAATGCTTATTGTCACTGAGTTGTTAATCCGAGGTTTGACTTGTATCCTGTTGCATCCTCTTGGCTCTATCTAATGCGCATACATTATTATAAATCACAGTCTGTTGTATTATCTATGCATGTAGATTTCTTTATGATGAGACACTCTGATCGGAAATGGTTTAACAACATTATTGTTTGGTTGACTGTCTCTTTCAGTACTCTTCTGTTCTGCCCCATCAATCCGTATTCTAAGTGTGTGGGTTTGACTTCTACTTCATGTTGGACTTCAAGTTCAAGTCGGTTCATAACATTCCTCACGTTCGAGCAGTAAAATTCGAACTTCCGATCTTTCTTAAGTTAGGTTCATTTTGAGTTTCTTAGGAACATATACAGCATATGTTTTTTTGGGAAAAAAGAATACAACCATAGATACTAAAAATGTCTCCAAGTAAAGCCACGAGAGTTTATGTTTAAAGTCGATAATATCGTACCATTGTGGAGAGTCATGATTCCTAACATGGTATCAAAGTCATACCCTAAAACTCAAATATTGAACACGAAGAATTGTGAGCCTCGAAGGTGTAGTCAAAAGTGACTAAAGTGTCGAATCCTTTGTTTGAAGGCTCCAGAGAAAGGGGTTGAGCCTTGATTAAGGGGGAAGCTATTCAAGAACTCCATAAGCATCAGGGGAGGCGAGGCTTATAGTGTACTTTGTTCGAGCAGAGAATTGTTGGGAGTGAGTTCTACATTGACCAATTTAGGGAATAGTCATGAGTTTAAGTAAAAGAATACATCTTCATTGGTATGAGGCCTATTGAAAAAGTCCAAAGCCATACCATTGTGAGACGCGTAATTCCTTTGAATTATATGAATATGAATTATATTTTGAAACTCTGACGTTTAACCAAACAGCAATGAATAATAGATATTTTATTTGGGATAAATATCAATTTATTCAATTTTGAGTTAGTATCAATTAAAATTAAACTAATAATTGTATCGGAAACTTTCATACTAAACATTTACATTTAGATCAAAATATCATTAAGACCCAGAAGCTTTCAAGTCTTTATTGTTAATATGTATCAAGACTTCCCCAAGCACTTCATAAACCAATAGCAAAATATGGAAAGAACCTAAGAGAACGAAATATCTAATAGACGCACTGTCCATTATAGCATAAATTGAATCAAGTGTATGTGTACACATGCATAAGCATGTGATACACGGAGACAATATTGACATGTATGTCTAAATTTAATTCCTTGGTGTGTACACATGAACATAGTTAACAAGGAAAAAGCACGAGGAACAATACATGATCTACCAAGCCCAAAAGATCTCATAATTCTGATGATAATATCAACTGTGATCAAAACAAACGATGTCCCAAGTTGCAAAGACAAAACTCCATAAAATACACACGTTAAAAACAGATATAGCATTTCTACTAAGTAATCTCTGATACCTAAACAGATACATTTTCTTGAGTTACAGTATTTGGCAAATGGTTCGCAGAAAAAGAGAGATTAAAATGAAGTACAAACTGATATAGATAGCTCAAAACTTGGAAGAAGATCAGGCTATCAAATGAAAGTTTGATGTTCATCACAGGGAGGAAGACAATAAGATTGGCAGGCATATGGAGTCAACTCAAGAAGTCAAACTGAACGTATTACGAGATGGCCAACTATTCTTACTTGGGATTCCTAAGAACAATAATGACAGAGTCTCCTCTCAGGAACATCTTACTGATGAATCTATCCTTGTTAACAGGTTGAGCCTTTTTCTTGCCCTTCCCAGTTTTCGGTACCTGGTCGTAGTAATAATACATAAGATAAGTGACTCTTGAGTATATACAAAGCAAGATAAAGAGTAAGCAAACATCAGTAAAACAAACCTCAGTCCACATCTCTCTAACATTTTCCAGAACCATATTACAATGCCGGTCAAAGGCCCGTACACGTCCCAAGAGCTTCTTATTGTTGCGACAATTAATAAGAACCTGCCGAAAAGGTCCAACACATATAAAGATAGTTTTTAACTGAAAAGTTCTGCCTGTGAATTACAAGGCGCAACTGTTAAACATGCACAAACAAAGCATACCTGAGTGTTATTTTTAACACTCATCATGAGAACTGAAAGTGGACCGGTGTTGAACTCCTCTTCCTCATTTTTGCTAGTCTGCAGAGGATTCAAAGTAAGTACACTATAAGGGTGTTTGTAGAAACACTTCAGTAAAGTTGGAAGTAAAAATATAAATAGAATACAATGAAGAAGTCCAAAGATTTTGCAATAAAACCCCAAAGGAACACACTGGGGAAGGGGGGCTGGAAAGATTTAAAAAAAAAAAATCCTAGTAAAAGAAAACGTTGAGATACCACTAGATATGATAAAAAGGAAACAGAACCGACATAGTTACTGAAAAAAATTAAAATAAATAAGCTTTATGGAATTGTCATAGTTATCATTTTTTTATTAGAAATGTAACCTTTAGGATAACAGAATGCAAAAGAGTAAGAAATTGGTGAACAATCATCAAATAGATAGGGAAAAAAATCACAATAATCAACCATAAAAACGAAGGGGAAAGAGAATACAGAATTGAACCAAAGTTTTACTTCAACAGGTATAAAACTAGCCTTAAAAAGTCATATTGCTTCTTGCCAACCATAGCACCAAGAAGATAGCAGAAATTTCATATTTTAAAGAAACAAATAGATTTTATAGTGATGCAAGAGTAAGAGATTCATTCACACTTGTGCGTAAGACATAGACTGAATCAATTTGGCAACATGTATTGGATGAAAGTACTGAAACTGAAAGCATAAATGACTAAAGAAACTTACATCTTCCTCCATTGGTCGGCTGCAATTGAAGACAAAAGGTGGGGAGGACATGAAAGCCATTAGTATGTAAGAATTTACAAGTAGCAGATTAAGAAATGCGCATAAAAAAATATACAAAAACCTAAAAACATAATACCTCATTTTGTAACTAGAGGTAGATCTTCTGCAATGTCCTTGGCGTGAGGCTGAAAATACATTAAAGATACGACCATAAGCACATAAAAAGCATAACAGTAATCACAACCGCACCAGCATAATCACATAAAACAAGATGTGCCTAAAATTGCCCTAAAAAACATCATGCTCCAAAGAAACTACAGTGTCGGCTAAATTAATCAAGAAAACACATAACGAGAATGTTAACTCTTCAATCAAGGTCCCGAGTGAGTTCAGTGCATAATATTTCAGTTCGATACAATATCTTAAGAACACAATAATGGAGAAACTGCACGAAAAAATCATCAGAAAGGAGGAAATAACGAAACTAAGAGAAGAGGCCGACAGAGAGAGAGAGAGAGAGAGCTTACCGGAAGCGGAGAAGGAGACCGACGGAGAAGGCGAGGGCGAGGTAGGCGGCGAAGTGGCGAAGAACAACGAAGACGATCGAAGGAGAAGATGAGCAGAAGAAATGTGTGCGCCGATGTCGAAATAGTATTCATTTTTACTTTAAACAAACAAAAAATGAAAAAACCCTAAACGCAGGGGTTTTTGCGTTTTGAATTATAAAACTTAAATTTTTCCAACTTAATTTTTAATATATATTAAAATTAATTAGTAAATCTTAATTATATTATTATTTATTCGATTCTTATAAATAATTTTTAATATATATTAAAATTGATTAATAAATGTTAATTAAATGTTTAGAAATAAATAAATAAATGTTTTATAAACTAACTTTTTATTTTTATTAAAAATAAAATTTTGAATAAATTACCTCAATTACTCGCGTATTATACGATTAATAACTATTTAACATTTTTATTTTTTGTTTTAAAAAATTAGGCAAAAAACAATATCAAAAAAACAAAAAGTTAAATAATTTGTAACCGCGCTAAAACATCCGCTTAGGCCTGTTACGTATCGTGATTTGTAACTACTAAGATATCTGCTTAGGCCTGTTACGTATCAACATTAATCTCACCGTTTTAAAACACGTGAACTAAGGAGAAGTTTCCACATCATTATAAGAAATGTTTAGTTCTCTTCTAACCGATGTGAGATCTCACGATCCACTTCCCTTGGGAGGCTAGTGTCCTCGCTGGCACACTGTCCAATGACTAGCTCTATATCATTTGTAACAGTTGCAGATATTGTTCGCTTTGGCCTGTTAAGTATCACTGGTCTGTTGAGTAGAATTGTCACACCCTTATAAAAAAAAATGATTCGCTTTCCTCTCAAACCGACGTGAGATCTCACGTGATTATCAAACAAGATCTAATAAACTTTACCCGCACTTCAATCCGACTAAAACGAAGATGTAATCTACGCAAAGAGAGGCTAACATACAAGACAAAAGAGACCAACAAAAGGCCTCTTAGCCTTCTGAAACTTATTTACAATACAACACACTAAGAGTTCAAAGCCAAGGGGTTTCATCAGTAGGTTTCAATACACTGCCAAATGAATAATAAGCTAAAAGCTACTTAATATCTGAACTCTTCCCTACAGTAAACAAATGTACATACCTGAATTCATTATAGACACTACTTCTTACACTTAAATATGCAGTTTTACACAGCTTTGCCAAGGTCATAAACAAATGCTCAGGGAGAGATGAAACTTACTTCTTCTTTAGAAGACCGCGCTTCGAGAAGATTGATATGTTCATTCCAAGAAATCCAGACTTCTTGCTCGGCTTCCCTTGCTCGGAGTTGCAAGGGGGTTCGTACGAGTATGGAGGTTCAGAAACACAAGGTTCTTGCTGCTCATTATCCTGAAAGTCTCTTAGAAGTCGGAGTAATTCGGTGGCACCCGCTTTTCCTTTTTCACTACCCTTCATAGTTATACTGGAAAGAGGGGGGATAACACCTTCCTCCATTACTAACTCACAATACTCGAATCGCTGCGAGCATAGCGAAAGGAGGATGGTAACGGCATGCTCCTGGTCTTCGAGACTGCCTAGCCAGAGACATTGAGCAATAGAGCTAATGCAGCCATTAGTTTCAACAATAGAGATCCTTGCGTCTTCTGTGTGGCACAAATTTTTCAGAATGAATATACATTTGCCTGAGAGATTCTCATAATTTAGCAAGGGAACTAGTTTTGGGATGCACCCCAGTGAAACGATGTCGGAGCAGATGTCGCTGTTTGAGGATAGATTGTAAAAGGTTTTAATGGCAAATTCTTGCAAGTCTCCGACCTCTGAGTCGAGATACTTAGCTATTGAAGCAAGGACACCAGATGTGACAAAATTAGACCCGCATTTACGGTGGCCAGATAACGCTTCTAAAATGGCAAGAACTTCATAAGTCACAACTGAATTCAATAAACTAGCTAATGTTGTCAGAACCTTCTCAGGTACAATCAGCCTATTAGACCTGCAGTACGGTCAAACGATCAAACACTAGTGTCCGTACGAGATGTGAGAATCAAAGGGAATCAAAGCAGAAAGTAAAGAGAGTAGGTTGTGACTCTCACGTCGAGACAAGCAAAGCAACAACCCAAGTAAGACCGTGACACTAAGCATTATAAAATGTGATTACTAAGATGCTGGAATATTGCAAAAATTACCTGCTTCTTCTCACAAGTGAAAGAAATAGCTCAGCTCCATTTTTCTGAGCCTTGGAATCCTGCTGATCACACGCATCCTTTAAAAATAAGGCAAGGTGATCCACGACGGTTTCAGATAAGGCCGGACCGACGCCTTTTTTGTTAATGACAACTTTCATATCTTTAATAATCTTGCATTTCGATTCCCACGAAAGCTCATTTATGGTAGATGGAAACTCCAAGTCTGCTTCCTCAGCATATGAATCGGATTGAAACCTTTGCAGATCATGATCTTTACTCTGCCCAGCCTTGATAGCCAATTCATTGCCACCATTGAGCCTCAATGAATCTGGATAGTAACTATTATCGAGACCTCCAAGCGACATATTGCTAAAATCGATGGGTAGACGAATATCATTCATCGAACTTCCAAAGCTAGCAATGGAATTCTCCCAAACCTCGGGGCATTCTGGTTCCACAGTTGGATCCGGGATTGTGACTCCAAACTTTATGCACCATTTATCAATTACATTCTTTAGATCAACATTAGGAATCATCGAAAAATCGGTTAGTTTCATTTTGGTATGCGGGCACGTATTATGACCCTCCTCAAACCACTTTTCAATCCACACCTTCTCATATGTCACTCCAGACGCGATCACAACAGGATCATACATCAATCTCATTGATATGGGGCACTTAAATTCCTCAGGGGGAATGGCCCTGTTGAGTATCATATCAGCATGGGAAGCATTATTTCCATGTTTCACATTAACTTCAATTTCCCCATGACCATTACTGTTAGAACTATCAGCTTGGTTTTCCCTGATTTCTTGCAGTATCAACTCCCCATGCTTCTTCAAAATATATAGAAGGTATGTCAAAATCTTCTTTTTCGGGGGATCGCCGTGACCAACATCATCTAATAGTTTTCTGATGGACCGTTTCTCGTATAACATTTCCTTGGGTGATGAAATATTAAGCCTCAAAGCAGCAATTTTAAGAGTTGCGATTTCCGACTTTTCCAATACATCTGGAGGCGAAGCACCTAGCTTCAGCAATTGTCGCAAAGCCTTCCAAGCCTCTTCGTCGGATGAGTCGAGGATAAACTTTGCAACCCTAAGATCATCTGCCATTTGAGAGATCTGCAAACAACAATTTCAGTGTCATTGTACTACCATGTAGAGTGATAGAAAATAGAACCCGGATATATTGCAATATAAAATATAGAAGGAACAACAATATAACTCCGAAACTATTCGAGGTTACTTGGAACCTCCCCTCTTGAAATACCACTCGCTAAGCCACAAAACAATTGCCTAACATCGAGACAACAAGGACACACACCTAGAGGCAAGAAAAACGGTAACAACCCAGGCCCACCGTCAATAGATATTGTCTTCTTTGAACTTTTCCTTTTAGACTTCCCCTCAAGGTTTTTAGAACGCGTCTGCTAGGGAGAGATTTTCACACCCTTATAAAGAATGCTTTGTTCCCCTCTTCAACCAATGTGGGATCTCACAATCCACCCCTTTTGGAGCCCAGCGTCCTCGCTGACACTCGTTCCTCTCTCCAATCGATGTGGGATTTCACAAAAACTCTCATTTTAACTACATATAATTAGCTAAGCAATTCCATTACTTTTGGTATGCTGCAATGAAATAACTACATATAAATATGGCTTACGACACTAGTCGGCGAGCACATTCATGAACCGAGAGAAAATAATTCTGTGAATGATAACAATAGACTATAGGCTTTTATTCACAGAATAGAGTATAAGAACGAAAAGAAATGACGAAAGTGAATTCAACAAACCTTTCGAGCCAATGTCACAGGAACCATGTACTTAATTTTACGCAAACTATGCTCCAACAAAGTCCTCACTCTATGACATCTAGAGATGATTCGATCTCCAGTTAATGCCTGAAAGAAATAAACGCATCATTACCGATAAGTCGCCATGGTCAGTGATAGAAAAATGAACTCAATCTTCAACAAGATCAGCCTTCAAAAGTATTTAGACCAAAATAGAAAGTTAATAGAAGTTTACGTACCAAAAGTAAATTCAGAACTTTGTAATTGATTTAATAGCAACCATCTAATCCTTAAGAAACTCAAAACGTAGGCCATATAAAATCTATGATTCAGAAGATATGCTTACCAGATAAAGCTTACTAGACTCTCGACAATACTGAAGAAGCAGCTCTGCTTTCATCTTTCCATTGTTTAAATTGCACAGCGCCTCTCGACCTTCCGGGCTTCCAGGCCGAGCTGCTTCAATTTCCGGTAATATCTCCGACACCCGGTCAACCAATTTCATTAACTCGGTGCACATTCTACAATGAACCTAAATTGACAAATAGATCAGACTGAGAGACAATTTGATGCTATAATCTAAAGAAAATAATCCAAGTTCCAAGTTTGTCTGATTCATTACACTTCCATGCCTAAGTATCCTCCAAAAGGAAAGGAAATTATAGATTTCAATGATACCTTAAAGGAATGGACATTTGAAGCTGCCTCAACATTTTCAGTACCATCAGTTCCCATTCACAAGAGAGTTGAACTCTAAGAAAATTTAAAACATTAGTTAGTAATCCATTACCAACCCATTAAAGATTCAGCTTCAAACATAGAAATCCATCAATCAATGCATATTGTTCTACCAGAGCCATAGAAGGAAGAACCTTAGACAAATTCAACCGGGAACACCAAGAACTACCCAATTTCAGGAGTTTATTTTGGTCAAGGTTGAGTTTCAAATTATGAACCATAACATAAACAGCTTTTGAGAGAGATAGGGAGAAACTTACTCAAAAATACAAGTGTTAGAACCAAAACGGAAGAATCCCTATTCAGAAAACCACCAGAAGCACTTATGAAACCAAATATCTTTCAAAAACAAGCAAAATCAGTCCTCGAAACCCAAGAATTCCTTCAAAATCACTCAAAATCAAACAGATTTCAAGCTGTTTGGCTTCGCTCTACGCTTCTAGCTTCAAGAGAAAAAGAAGAAAAAGCCCCAAAGCAGAACAGCTTCCATAACCCCAAATTTCACAGAAGCTTCATAAAAATTGCACACAAGCAAACCAATAGAACCAACAGCTCCTCTTCTTCTTCAACCCCTTTAAAGCAGAGTATTAAAAAACAAACCCTCTTCAGCAAGCAGGCGTAAACGCGCCACTCGGGCAGCTTCACAGTGTGGACCTTCCGCTCGAGCAAAAGCAAAAAAGAGCCATCAATGCTAATAAAGTAAGATAAATACATGGAAAACTAAATTAAAAGGCAACTCTCATAATTAAAGATGAACAGCAACCCATTTCCTTGAACAACAGCCATTAAATATCAGGAAACAACCATGAAAAAGGACAATCGGACACAGAGAGAAGTAAAAAAGACAGGATAGTGGTCAAATCGTTGCAGTTAATTACAGAACAAAATTCGACTTCATTCATTGTTCAAACAAACAAAAAAAAAAATTGTGGTTGAAAAATTAGAAAATTCTTACAAACGAAATCTTCAACTCAGTTTCCATTTCTTGCTAGGTCATCCATCAATCGTCATCGATTAATTTTGCAGAGAACATAATCGCTGGATCATAGTCAAGTTCATCAAAATCAACGGCTCCCAATCGACACCACATACAACGGTGTGGTGCGCCATTACAGCGTAAATTATTTCTCGTGACCCTACAAAAATTCTGAGACGGCTAGAGCGAGACTCCATTGAACGCTTCAAGTCAAATTCAAAATAAATAAATAATTAAATTACTTTCATTATTCAATTAAAAGTATACCTTATTGATTCAAAATAAATGTTTTAAAATAATATATGAAAATAAATATAAATAAAATTATATCCCACTATCTATTCATCCCAATTTTATTTTAAAAATATAATATTAAAAAAAAAATTCCGCCGACTCCACACAAATGGGTTGGTAAGACGTTAAAATATCGATTATTCAACGATGTCATTACGGTAAAAAAAAAATCAACCGCAGTAAAAATAAAATTCTATATATTTTAATAAATCAAAATTACCAACCTATTCCCAATAAATTCAAGTTTATTCAATAAAGTCTGATAATTACATAATTCTATGATAGATACTATATATTAATGTCAATATAGATATAAATAGAAAATTATAGTATAGTTTATGCATGATATTTATTGTCACATTACTATAAAAGTCGTACGAAAATTTATTTTATTTTGAATTTAAAAAGTATAGTTTATAATTAGCTAGGTTAGGTCAAATTTGATGCACGTAGACTAACACTCATTTCTACCTCAACGGTTTTTATAAATTATTATTGTATCGAATAAGTCCGTGAGCTTAAAAAATAGCTTATGATAAATCTTTTAAAATTTTATTTTTGTGTACATAATAAACTATGAATTTATTGAATAACATAATGGAAAGTTGAATCTTCAAAGTCGGAAGGTTGCTATCAGTGTAAAATAGCTCTAGCCTCTGTAACGTCCTAGATCCACCGCTAGCCAATATTATCCTCTTTGGAGTTTCACATTCGACTTCCCCTCAAGACTTTAAAACGTGTCTTCTAAGGGAAGGTTTCCACACCCTAATAAATGGTGTTTTGTTCTCCTTTCCAACCAACGTGGAACATCACAATCCAACCCCGCTTCGAGGCCCAGCGTCCTCGTTGGCACTCTTTCCTTCCTCCAATCAATGTGGGACCGCCCCCAAATCCACCCCCTTTAGGCCCCAACGTTCTTACTGACACAGTGGTTCGTGTCTACCCACCTTCGGGGAACAGCGAGAAAGCTGGCACATCGTTCGGGCTTCTCCTAGTAGACACATTTTAAAGCCTTGAGAGGAAGCTAGAAAGGGAAAGCCCAAAGAAGACAATATCTCCTAGCAGTGGATATGGGACGTTACAGCCTCGTTCCCTCCCGATGAAATAGCAACTACACCCCTTAGTCTCGAGCGTTTGAACTAATCTCAGCCTCTCGAACTCTTCATGGCAGCTAGTCTTAGATTGAGTCCTAAGAGGATTGAAAAATCGTTCGAGAAATTGGAAGACATAAAGAGGGCTTTCGTAAAAAGTCTCATTCCAATAGAAAGAGTATTCTTTGATTATAAACCATAATCATTCTCTAAACTAGTCGACGTGGGACTTTTATCATCCAACAGATAAGTCTGGACGGTTTCAAAATGGGTTTAAAATTGGGTGATTTTGAAATTACATTTAAATAGACCCAACTGGCGGAACCCCACGTTGGTAATGGCCACCACCTGTTTGTATTAATGTCTCAACCAACTTCCCCCTTTATTTCCCCTTCATCATTCAATCTCCACGCCCACCATTGCTGCCTTCAATGGCGTCCTAACGCTTCTCCCCCTGTCACTTCTTCAGCCTCCTCCTGTTGGGCAGGCAAAGCACAACAAGGCGTACGCGCGGGCATTGACCTTATACGATAAGGACAATCTCGAGCAGTGGCCAAATGTTACTGATGTCGGTAGAAGAGATTAAAGGTATATTTGGATTGACTTTTTAAAGCATACGAACACTTAAGAAGTCATTTAAAACATGGTTAAATAGACGATATTAGATACTCGTCTATCATGTCGGCCACGTAGAGACTGGCACAGACCTATTTCCATGCACAGCATGTGCCAATTGATTGCTCCTTTTGTGACTTGTGTTTGTAATGTGCTTTTATGCTTTTGAGTGCCATAATATTACCTAAATTCTTTAATGATTTCAAAAATTAAATTTGTGATTTAAATGTCGTGTCCCGTCTTTTTTAGTTTAATAATATGTAGCGAAGAGATTCAAATCTCTTATCTTTTGGTTCATGTGAGATTCCACATCGGTCGGAGAGAGGAACAAAACATTCCGTATGAGGTTAGGTGTGGAAACCTCTCCCTAACATACGCGTTTTAAAATCGCAAGGCTGATGACGATATATAACGGGTCAAAATAGACAATATCTGCTAACAGTGGGCTTAGGAATGTTACAAATGGTATCAGAGCCCGACGCCCGGCTGTGTGCCAACGAGGACGCTAACCCCAAAGGGAAAGAATTGTGAGATCCCACATCGGTTGGAGATGAGAACGAAACATTCTTTATAAAAACGTGAAAATCTCTCTCTAACAGACACGTTTTGAAATCGTGAGCATGATGATGATATATAACAGGCCAAAGTGGACAATATCTGGTCGATGTGGATTTAGGCTATCGAATAAGGCTCATGTTCACATGTCGAGTACAATTTCTCTTAAGAAAAAATATAAATTCGGTATAGGATTAAAATTGAAATTCTTAAAATATTAGAAATCAAATAATATATTTAATTTTGACATTTTTTCTAAAAAAAATTCTAATGTAATTATGAAGCACAAAACTGCTAAATTAATAATGAGAATTTGATATATATATTGATTATAAAGGATATCATAAATTAAGAGAATGTGATTTTTTATTATACGAAAAACTTACATATAAATTACGAGCAGTAAATTAGTTTTTAACCACGATGGTAATTTGTTTTGTTATGGTTAATAAACTAACACACATTATCTTTTAATTTAGCTTTTCCATATTCCTTATTTTTTCTCTCATTTATAATATACTAAGTTTGAATAATACGTTTAAATTTTGAACAAAAAAAAATATCTTTAAATTTTTTTAAAATAAAAAATATATATATCCTATCTGTAAGTACTATGGTTTAAAAACACTCGTAATATATGAGGTGTTGATACATGATTTGTCTGACAATAAATTTTTTTTTTTTACTTTTATTTGTTAACTTTTTTTTTTCCGCTTGTTTGATATTCAAATAACTTTACAAACAAAATTGATTATGGAGTGATAATAAACATACAACATAAACAATATAGAATTGTGTCGAAACTCAGCCCTAAGCTAAAAAAAAAAACACAAATGCTCTTTTTATTACCTGTTTCAAATCAAGTTCCATGAGGCATTTAGTTATGACTTTCATACTTGACCATCATTAACAACGGTGTGAATGTAAATAAAATGTCTTAAAATACATTAATAAAATATCAATTTGTAACCGTAAAACAAATAAATGAAGCTTTATTATGACATGAACTATAATATCTTATGATAATTTGAACAATATTTTACATGATTAGAATGACGTTACAATGACTAAGAGTGGAGGGATGTAGATATCGAGCTTCCTTGGTCGACCCACGACTTGGACACATTGGGTTCGGCTTAAATGTCAATGGACCATAGGGCTCGTTCCAGTCCGAGTCCATATGTAACTTCAAAAAAAATATATATATTTAAAAATAAATAAATTTTAGCTAAATAAAAAAAAAATGGTATTTTAATGGCTAACCAGATTTTGTGGAATAAAAACTCAAGAAACAAGCGCACCCACAAAAAATATAAAATATTAAATCACGAGAAAGGTGGGCCCATCTTTGACCAACACGTGTCATCCTAGTATCCACGTACGCCCCCAAAGACCGCACGAGGTTGATAACCGCCACGTCCGATACAAACAAACCACGTAAGCGATCCCCCAACAGCTTCATTGTACGGAAAACTCCCAACCGTCTCGCCCACCGCCTACTTATAAGCCCAATCCCACCTCGTCAAAATACAAAGCGATTGCATTCGATTAAGTGTATTTCTGTGGCCGGAATCGGAATCGGAGTTACACGTATTTAAGAACAATGGCAAGGAGAATGAAGTCGTTGGCGGCGGTTTTGTGGGTGGTGGTGGTTCTGTTGGTGGCGGAGAGAAGCAGGGGATGGGCTGAAGAAACAAAGGACAATGTAGCCGAAGCTGCTTCCAACGCAAAGGACAATGTAGCCGAAGCTGCTTCCAGCGCAAAGGAAAGCGTATCCGAAGCTGCTGAAAAAGCGAAGCTTGGTGAGAAAGCCGAAGCCGTAAAGGAAGGGGCTTCAGAAGCTTATTCAAATACAAAGGAAAGCGTAGCTGAAGCGGCTGAGAAAGCGAAGCTTGGTGAAAAAGCCGAAGCCGTAAAGGAAGGGGCTTCAGAAGCTTATTCAAGTGCGAAGGAAAACGTAGCTGAAGCGGCTGAAGAAGCGAAGCTTGGTGAGAAAGCTGAAGCCGTGAAGAAAGGGGCTTCCGAAGCTTATAACGACGCTAAGGACAAGGCTGGGTCTTGGTCCAATTGGGCATACAACAAGCTTTCCAAGTAAGTTTACGTATTATTAAAATCTCCGAACACAAAAAAAAAAAAAAAAAAAAATGACGGCGTGATATTTGTTTGGTCAGGGGATTCGGGTTTAAAGATGAAGAAGTGAAGGAGACAGCCCCCGCCAAGGCGGAGAAAGCAGACGAAGCCACACCGAAAGGCGGAGAAGCGGCGAAGGAAGTGGCCGGCGAGACGCCCAAACACGAGCACGAGCATAATCCGGCGGAGAAGGAGAAGACCACCGAGCTCTGAGCTAACACATGGATTTTTGCCCTTTATTTTAAATAAATCGAGATTTTGATTTTTTTTTCTTTCCATTTTAGACTCTTGAATAAAATATTCCCTTTATGATTATGATTTTGATTTGTGGGTACGTGAGTCTTATCTATTGATCCTTAATTTTAAGGGATAATTTTTGGAAAATTCTTTACTACCCACAAATAGAAATTATGAGTATGGTATGTCTCGATGATGATTAGTGTTTACTACTCTCGATGATGATTAGTGTTTACTACTCTCGATGATGATTAGTGTTTACTACTCTCGATGATGATTAGTGTTTACTACTCTCGATGATGATTAGTGTTTTATTGAACAACCTTCAACAAAAGGTTGTTCTTGTACCAAAAAATTAGCCGATATGAGACTTTCATCCTCCAACCCCTCCCTTTGAATAAAGTACGCCTCATCTTAATTGGCATGACTAAGTTTAGGGTAAAACTCAACAAACACGACTCTCCACCGATATTGTCCATTTTGAGCATAAACTCTCATGCTTTTACTTTGAGCTTCCTCAAAAAGCCTCACATCAAAGGAAAGAGTATTATTTGTTTATGTACCCATCGTATTCTCAATGCATAAACCAAATAAAAAAAAAATGATATTTATGAACCAAAACTCTTATAATGAGATTTATGAATCAAAATGACCATGAATATATTCCACAATTATTAAAGTAGCTAGAATCAACATCGACCAAATGCAAAGGATAAAAATCCAATATTTTCCCCAAAAAACGGGAAGAAATGACGAGCAAGATCAGAAAAGTGGAAAGAAACTTGAAAAATCGGTCTTTTTACGCCAATTTCGCTGCAAAATTGATGAACTAGTGGCTCATCATTTTACCCTTCTCTTCTAAGCTGAACTGCGTCCTCACCCGCTTCTTTGCCTTCCCCGACGCTTCTCCGCCGTCGCTTGACGACTCCGCCGGGCCTTCCGCCGAACCGCCGAACGCCATCATCACCGGACCAGCGAAACTCCGCCGTTCTGTCCTCTTACCTGTATTATAGTTAAATAAAACATAATTTGCCTTTCCATTATTAGATCTCAATATATAATAATAATAATAATAATAATTAAACATACCGTAACTCACGACCTTAATCCGGCCGTTATCCACCACCTCCACTACTCTCCGGTGGAAACTCCGGTGACATTCGCAGGCGGCGCACTTGAACCCATCAGGAGTACCATCTTCCCCACTGGGCATGAACTCTCCGCACCCATCGAGCACGTGCCCGCCGCTCTTCACGGCGTAGTTCCTCAAACATTCACGGTAGCGAACCGGAGACGACGGCGCAGGGGGTGGCGCCGCCGGATCTGGGTTCGGAGGAGGGTGATCTCGTCTGGGTCTAAGGGAATAATGAACGGTTTGATGGTCTCCTAATTCCATTTTGAAACGGTTCTGATTTGGTCCAAGGAGGGTTTGGTTTTGGTTTACCCTTTTTTTTTATTAAACTAATGAGATCTACTAATTTAAATATAATATCTTGTAAGATCTTTCTAGCTCTAGTTTTCATATCCCAAATACTTATTATATATATATATATATATATATATTAAAAAGCCACCGAGCCAGTTGAGCATTGTCCAAGCCTTCAGTACGTTCCTCCGTTCGAGCAATAGAGCCCGTCGAACAATCCCCTCGTTCAAAGATACTATCTCTCGTGGCCTTGGCTTCTAGGGTCTCGACTCTAGTCATTAATCCAAGGATAGACATTGTTTCAAGGTGGCGTGCCATCTCGTTGAACCTATCGACTTTAGCCGACATCTCATTCATGCGAGATTCCAAAAGTCCCATTCAATCGAAACGATACCCAGAACTCCCATCAATAAAAAAAATTGAACCTCCTGCTGTACAAAAGAAACTTTGTAGCTGAATACAACCGTTTCTTTCCTCCCCACATCGATAGAAGTAGATAAACGGGAATTAATTCTAACTCCCACATGGTAAAAAATAGTAAAAAGTCTCGAGCAGAAAATGATCCTATTTGATTGCTATACATTGCTAACATTAGAAAATGGAATAATCGAGAATCTCGAGTTATTGGCCAAGCCGCTAAAGTAGCTAAAGTGGTGAATTTTGCTCATGTAGAGTAACTGTTGTTCGATTTTAGCTAATTGATCAGTCTGGGACTTGCCCAATTGTTTCTTGGTGGGCATACCTACATAGCTCTGATACCACTTGTCACAATCGTACTTTGATCGCAACAGACTTGTGATTGTGCGACACCCACTTTAATATTTATATAAATATTTATTTATTTATAGGTAGAATATTAATGTGGATTATTTGATAAAATTAAATTATATTTTAGCTTTTGAAATGTTATTAAATTTCTTTTTTAATAAACATTATATATTAAAAATGGAAATCCGTGCCGTGCCGTGCCGACAAGTCGAAGAATCGAGTTCCGGAAGGAGCGAGCTATCCCGCCTCGGCTACAGGACAGCAATACGTGATATTTGGATGCGATAGCCAACGATTCTCGCCGACTATGATCCTGCTCGAGGTACCATGGTTATTCGTATCACGGCTACGCCATTTGGGAAGCAACTCAGGTGCTGGAAGCTACAATACACATTTATTTTTGACTGGATCGTTGATCAGTAGATTTGAGCATTTTTCTTTTCTTCTGCAGGAATATGTAAATGTTGAGGTCAAAGCGACGGTTAATAGCATCTATATCAGGTGTTTATGTTTCGTATTAGATTAGACTCGCGATCTTACGTTTATTTTTGAAGATTTGAGTTCTTGGATTTTCGATTTTATTGTATTTGTTTTCAAGAATTATAAGCTAGGTTAGGTTGATTGTTGCATTGCCTGAAGCTTTGGGAGGTTCGACGGATGAATGAATCCATTACGAATCGCATGTTTTCTCAGAGGAATCTTAGTTACTTGATGATTAATCAGATTCAATGATTTGCGACATTACTGAAGATTCTTCCATTATATGTTATTGTGTGTATTTGTTGTAGTGGATGAATGCTACAAGATGGGAGATGCGGCGAAACCATTTGGTAGAACTCTTTGATTTCTTTTGCAGGCGGGACATACTGCTTAAGCCAGTCCGGAAGAGGCAGAACAAGTGATTCATTGATGCATTCAGATGATTCGCACAGGTACAAATTTTGATTATGAGCAAGTCGGATTATTGCCTATTATTCCAATATAATTGCTTAGAACATCTTGAGTTACATAGAATTATAGAGAGATGGTTGAAAGAGCACCATCCAACTGGTTTTTTGTTCATGGAAAAGCTAAAATGGGGGAACTAGAAGACTAATGAAACTTATATCTCTTTTATCCCTGAGAAGTCAAATGCAACTACAATGGGGGAGTTTAGACTCTTTAGCCAAGAAGAACCCCTCTCCCCTTTCTTGTTCGCTTCTATAACTAATGTTTTCTGCAGCATTGTGGAAGTTTGTAAAGAAAAATGCATTATCGAAGGCTTTGAAATAGGTGGAGAGGGTCAAAGTTTCTACAGATGATACTATCTTGTTTTGCAAATATGAATCTGCTAAGCTAAAAATGTAATGACCCTAAGCCCACTGCTAACAGATATTGTCCTCTTTAGGCTTTTCCTTTTGGGCTTCCCACAAAGTTTTTAAAACGCGTTTGGTAGGGAGAGGTTTCTACATCCTTATAAAGAATACTTCATTCTCCTCCCTAATTGATGGATCTCACAATCCCACCCCGTTGGGGCCTAGTGTCATCGCTGACACTTTTTCTCCTCTCTAATCGATGTGAGACCTCACAATCCACCCTTCTTTGGGGCCCAGCATCTTCGCTTGCACTCATTCTCCTCTCCAATCGATGTGGGACCTCACAATCCACCCTCCTTTGGGGCCCAGCGTCCTCGTTGACTCTCTTGTTGGAAGTCTACAGTTGTAAGATAGAATCCCTCTCCAAGTCGTACCTGGGCTTGCCTCTTGGAGGAAAGCCGTCTGATGCATCCTTTTAGGATCCAGTTATTGATAGTCAGAAGTAAGCTTGTCAAGTTGGGAGGCTTTCCTTTTTCTAAGGGATTCAGCTTAGTAAATGCAGTACTCACAAGCACCCCTATTTATTACCTCTCCATGTTCGTATTGCGAGCAAGGCCAGCAAAAACCGAGACAAAATCATTAGAAATTTTCTATGAGAAGTAGCAAATAATGAAGGGGGTAGCTACCTAGTGAATTTGGTAAAAGTCATTGCTCCTTTGTCCTTGGGATGTCTCAGCATTGGCAACGTTGGAAAGAAAAATACTGCTATTTCAGTGGCTTTGGCATTACACATAAAAAGGAACTGCTCTATGGAAAAGCATTATTAGAAGGAAATATGATCACAAGTGCCCTTCATAGCTAATTTCTTTCCAAACTAAATGGATTTGGAAGGAACACAGCCCCAAGAAAGTACATTTTTTTTTTGTTCCAAGAAAGTACATTTTTTTTTGTTTGTTAGTTGGCTCATTGTAGTCTCAAAACCACGGACAGGGTTCAATGGACAAATTTCATGTGACAGCTCGAGTCCACCGCTAGTATATATTGTCCTCTTTGGGCTTTCCTTCATAGTTTTTAAAACGTGTCTGCTAGAGAGAGGTTTCCAAACTCTTATAAAGAATGTTTTGTTCTCCTCTCGATCCATGTTTTGTTTCCCTCTCCAACCAATGTGGGATCGAGAGGAGAACAAAACATTCTTTATAAGGGTGTAGAAACCTTTCCATAGTAGATGCATTTTAAAAACTTTGAGGAGAAGCCCTAAAGGAAAAATCCAAAGAGGACAATATCTGCTAGCGGTGGCTTTGGACTGTTACATCCCAACCGGGATTTATCAACAAATATTTGTCTGATGTGCAAAAAGGATTGAAGAAACTAGCAGCCACTTATTTCTCCACTATTTATTCACTTACAAAGCTTGGATTTTTATCCTAGAACGCCTAGGCGTAGCTTGGTGTCTTCCAAGAAGTAGTTGAAGACGGCCTTTCAGAATTAATCTCCGGTGGATGGCTCAAAGGCAGGGGTTGAGTAATGTGGTCAACCGTGGATACATCTTTCTTTTGGAAAAACATCATTGATTATGCAAAAAAAAAAAAAAAAAAAAAAAAGCTATTGTTTGATACTTTGATTAATAATAGAAATGACTACCATTGTACCAGTTTGAACGTTACAGGTTTAAGCATTTACCCTCGACAAAGAGGTCGGAGGCTTCGACCCTCCAACTCCACACGTTGAATCAAAAAAGAATAGAAAGGAAGCAATTTGGCATGTCATTTGTCTTGGGCATTTGAATGCAGGGTAGCAAGGAATTGCTTGAGACACCTATTGTAGACGCAAGGTCGTTCCAAGTGAACCAAGTGACCCGACTTCGGTATGCTTTGAAACGTTGCATTGTCGCCGAGGTCCCTACATTTAGCATTATTCGAAACAGAACTTAGGATTCAATTTCAAATGAATACTTAGTTAACTTTTAATGGAATGAAATGATACGTACTCTTGTAGTTTTCGGGCAAGCTCGACATTGAAAATCTGATCATTTAGGCCCCATAAAAGATGTATCTTCTGCAAAGAGATGGATGAAGAATCATAAGCAGTCTTCCAAGTGAAGGAATTAAAGTGGGGAGTGAAGATGGGAAGAAGAGAGTGCCTGAGGGAACTTAGGCACAGTGCTGTCTTTGTTACTCATAACTAAGCCTTCAAGCAGCTCTGCCCTGTCCTTCCTGTTATTGAACATCACCTGCAATTGTTCAAATATAAAGCTAATTTGTTAGCTGGGTTTAGGGGTATATAAGGTTCGGGTTGAATTGGGTTGAGGGATTTTTTTGGACCAACCCAAAAGTTCGGGTTGGTTGGATTGATAACAACCTAACCAGAAAAATTTCACAATGCAGCTCAATCCTCTATTTTTGGATGGTTCCAAAAAGAAAAGTTAAAAAATTTAATTGGTATCTCCCAAAATACTTAAACAATTACCATCTATAAACTTCTAGTTTTAAAGTATCAGATAAAAAGTATAAGATGGAGTTACTAGATGGCTTTATCTCCCGATTCTTGATTCTTTCGTTTTTGTTTGGTTAAATTACAACAAATTCTCTCAATCTTTAGCGTTTAAAAAATACTCTAGTTTTTCAAAAGTTACAATATTACCCTTGATGTTTCAAAACTATTCTTAGAGTAAAAACTTTTTAGAATTATATTTGTGGTCATCAACACATTAGCTCGATTTTTTTTTTGTTAAACATTCTAATAAATCTCTATTTTAATGAAGTTTTGAAATATTGGTAATAATTAAAATAAGTCGAGTCAAGAACACTCCAGAGCTCACTCACTTAACATGGGTGACATTTTTTTTAACAAAAAAAAAATCATAGATCTCTAACTTATTATATTATTATTATTATTTTTCCCCTCATAAAATTATGAAGAAAATAACACTCAATTAGGTAAAGTTAGGTCATCATGTAAGTAGGTCCCTCTTTTATAAATTATCCTTTCAATATATTAATTTATAAATATGGCTATGAATTTCAAATTAATTAGGTTAGAAGTAGGTTAGATAGTTGGTCAATAAATACAAAATATTTCAATTTTTTTCTTTTTTTTTTCTTCATTTTCAATTTGTTGGGGTTCCAACCTTCAAAAAAAAAAAAATAATAATAATAATAATAATAACTTATAAATAAAATATGGAAACAAAAATCAATTTTTTAAAACATGACAAAATGTATATTAATTTCAAATAATTCATTTTAAATTTTATTAGAACAATTTTTATTTAAAAAATTGTAATTTTATTTTAAATTTGAACGAGGCTTAACATTTACATTGTTGTAGATTTTTTTATTAAAGATTTATTGACAAAAGATTTTTCATGTATCTTAATTAAATTATAAAATATATATTTAATATGATATTAATAAAGAAAGTTTAATTTAGAGTAAAAAATTGATACCTTTTTCAAAGTTTAGTATACATTTTGAAATAATATTTTAACACATTTAAAAAAAAAACGGAAGAAAAATCATTTGAGTTTTTTAAAATTAGGCTTCTAAAATAAATTTAATATAAATTATAGAACATAAAAAAATACCATCATTATTATTATTATTATTATTTTGTTAAATTAAAATTTTAGCTCTAAAACTTTAAAGTTTATATTTATGAATTTCAATATTATAATTTAGTTTTGAATTTTATTATTCTTTTTTCAATCAATAAATCTAATAGACAAAAAAAAAAAAAAAATTAGAACTTAATTATAAAAAAAAATCTAATTTTATATCTAATAGTTTAATTAATTTTTAAAAATTTCTGACTTTTTTTTTATTAAAGTTAACAATTTTGTTCAATTAATTATAACTCGAAAAGTTGCAAAATAAATAAATAACTAATAAAGAAAAAAAAAATATATATATATATATATATATATATATATTTGTACGGACCTCAAGAAAGTCTTTATGAAGTCGATCAGGAAACCATAGCTTTTTATGGGCGGCGACGGAGAGGAGCGCTTTCAGGCCCTTCACCGACGTCGGAAGCAGCAGCTCAGAGGACGACCCAAACCCTAATCTCTGCAGCGTCTCGCCGCTGATCGAATCCGTCATCGCCAGAATCGAACCGGAAACCACCATAGCCTCCACCAGCTCAGGCCAGAGCTCCGCCAGTTTAAACGCTACCATCCCGCCGTAACTGAACCCGACCACCGTACATTTATCGACTCCAAGCTTTCTCAGCCCAGCCGCCAAACACTCGGCCTGAAACGTCGGTGACCGGTCCGATTTTTTGGTGATGGAGTCGCCGAAAAAGAGGAGGTCCGGGACGTAAACAGAGTATCGCTTAGAAAGGGCACCCACCTAAACAGAGTATCGGTGTTATTAAATTTGGATTAATTAATAAGTTGTTGGGTTTAGTGAGGATTCGATACCTGGAACTGCCAAGTGACGATTCCTTCTGCGGCAAAACCGTGAACCAGGACGACAACCGGCTTGGTCGGTTTTTGCGGCGGTTTGGGCGGTTGGGTTTTTTTGGGTTTGGAGAGAGTCTCGACGGGGACCCAGAAGTTCATGGTGGTGCCGGGCTCGATGTCGACGGAGTAAGGCACTACGCCGGCCATCTTCATTAGGGCGTGTAGCAGTGGGCGTTGGGCTGCAACCAAGTTCACCATGGCTAGTTGAATTCTGGAATAAGGTTGGAGGATTGAAGGCGAGGGGCTTAAATTTAAGTTGATTGGTTGGTTGGTTTAGTTTGGTGGGCGATTCCAACGCCCCTTATAGGTAAGCAAATATATATGGACTCTTCTATGGGCTTTGTATAAGGAATAATATATTACGGTTGGGTCGGTTGAATTAGTGACCTGTGTTGGATGATAAAAGTCCTACGTCCGCTAATTTAGGGAATGATCATGGGTTTATAACCAAGGAATACTATCTCTATTGGTACGAAGCCTTCTTGGAAGCTGAAAGCAAAGCCATGAGAATTATGATCAAAGTGGACAATATCATATCATTGTGGAGAGTCGTGTTTGTCTAAGAACGTGAATAACTCAATCTAATAATAATCTCTATTTTTTTAGTTGGGTTATCAATTAAATTATTTTTTAAAGAGTTATATTTATTAAATAACTAAAATATCAGAAAGTTCAAATATCAAACATTCACTAGCCATAACGCATTATTAATACCGATTACAAATGTCTAATGTTGTAAATCTTTATAATGATTTAAAAGTATGGTAGGATTGAATTGTAACCCATGAACCAACTTAAATTTTCAAAATTTCAAAAATTTACCAAACCCAACCTCGATGGTTTGAATTAGGTAGCCCAAGTTGATTAGGTTCTTGAGTCATTTGAACACCCCGACAAACAAAACACATTTATATACTATAGTTGTAATATGGATAGGATATTGCTCTCATTAATTTTTAGCCATGTCAACGTTTATTTGGAGGACATGAAGTTCAACAATAACAAAAATTATTTGAATACAGGGAGTAGATACTACGAGAGTATCTCATTCGTGTTTTTTGGTTTGTTGAACTCATTATCGAGGGGGGACTTTCTCGATCAATATCAAGGGTTAACTAGCTACCATACTTTATAAACAATACCAAGGATTAGCTAATGTGAAGGATAATAACTCTCAAGGTATTTCTACAATCATATAATATTGTTTACTGAGTATAAGCTCTCATAATTTTATTTTTATTAATTTTACTCAAAAAGTCGTACCATAAGAGATAATTGTCCTCATTTTGTTCTTTCAACAAACTCGACCTCATGCCCATACATATGGCGACATGCTTTTGCTGCCTCTCTTCAACTCCTCGATTTGGTTTATCATGATATTGTAGAGGTTGGAAATATGGTCTTTTTTACTTGCAAGCAAAAAAGAGAAAAGGAGGGAAAAAAAAAAAACGTCTTACCAAGTGTTATCTAAAGACGGGGTTCCTCGTCTCAAAACCAATTGATAATGAGAGTAACTATATATTTTATAACGATTGTGAAACTTCGCCACCTTTCCAATTTGGAATCCTCAATATGTTCTCTAAAGTTAGTATCCCTTTTGATTCACCATACGACAAAACATCATATGTTTGAATCTTTGTAACGTCGTTCTTGTTAAAATTCTGATACAATTAAATTTAAAATCACAATAATACCATACGAGAAAGAAGTCATTGAATTTAATCATATAAGAAAGAAGGAAAAAAAAAAATCACTCAAAGAATAACAAATAACTAGTACATGAAACTACATACTGAGAAAGAAGTGATATAACTTTAAACCATGAGCATAGCCTCATAGTTACGGCACGGTGTAGCACAGTTTGGTAGCGCGTTTGTTTTGGGTACAAAATGTCACGGGTTCAAATCTTGTCATCCCTACCTATTACTTATCTTCAGAACAGTGACGAGGATTCAATTGAGATCCATAAAAATGGAACATTAGTATACCGAACCCTTTTCTTGAAAGTTCAAATTTACGTTCTCTTGTCATAATTCATAAGAGTTAGCTTAACCCTTCTTACCAAAAGTACGGTATTTTGCTTTTCGTGAAACAAAATTACAAATTGTCAACATGTTTATCGAGATGTAAAAGATGAGTAATCGCGAGCATCAAAATCAGGACTATAACATCTATGTCCAAGATGAGCAGCCAACAAGAATAAGAATCTCAAACCTAATTTTCCGTGGTAACATGATGTAGCAAAAGGTAAAAAGTTCTTTTTTGTTACCTCAGCGAGCTATAAAGCATCATTCATGAGTTTCTCCGTAAGAGCTTTGGGAAGTCCCATCACTGTGTCAGTTGAACCTACCTGTTATACACTAAAATGTTTCAGGTTCTGATAGATAGATATGCATACACAAGGTTAAAGTCAAGGCCTAAAGTGTTAGGATCATCATTCACTTTACAGTGAAATCAAAGGATGTTAGTTGAAACTGAAGTGAGGAGAATGTGACTGCTCTTAATAGAAAATGTTTCACAAAGACCACATCCGTTTGAACTTCCAGATCAGAATTAGATTAGATATAGCGAACAAATGGTAAATATAAAGGGGAATAACAAGACATCCAGTTCCCAGGCATATTTGTATTTTCCTAAATATAGCTTCCAAAGGAAAAATAAACAAATGACTCGGTCCCAAGCAAGCCTGTTCAGTCGATTTTTTTCTAGAAAATACCACTTATCACATATTTTTGTTGATGGAAATAAGTGAAGGATGTACATTAAAATTAAAACGGTGAGATCCCACATTGGTTGGAGAAGGGAACGAAACGTTCCTTATAAGGATGTGGAAACTTTTCCCTAACATATGCGTTTTAAAATCTTGAATAGAAGTACAGAAAAGAAAGCCGAAAGAGGACAATATCTGCTAGTAGTGGGCTTGGGCTGTTACAAAAGCAGAACTTAAATGGAGCAGTCAGGCAGGCTAATTTTCTTTTGTAATTCTTTGTCTGAGTAAATGTTTTAGAACCTTGATGAGATGTTCGACTCCCCAAACTGAACATGTGTAATACGATATGAAAAGCTAAGTTAATGTTTCGACACGTGGGTTCGTTCATCCTAGGATATGAATTTATTATCATTCATTACACAAATCTAGATTTATGAAACCCTTTCAGGTCCATGAGTCAATCTGTACTCATTCTTTATATAGATTACAGACAACAAAACACAATGCTCGGATGTCTGCAAAAGCATATCAGTAGAGATATATTACTAACCACTGCCTCAACTAACGGCCAAGTCAGTGGATGTTCCAACATAAGACCTCCAGCTACTTTGAATGTAACGTCCTCTTCAATCTGATGCAATTTACCATCAATAAGACTTGAAAACAATGTAAATAAAAAGCATAACTATGGAAAAGATCCAAGTAGGCAATATTCCCACGTTTACCAGGGTATCTATAATCTCCTCTGGTATGTCATAGAAATAAACCTTCAGCAGAAAATTAGCCCAACGTTATTCAACTTGATCTCAAACCATGTATAAACGCTGTCCCTCGGTTAAGGAAGGATAAAATGTGAGTTGAAGGTTAGTATACCTCTGCCTCTTCCCATCCCCCTTTTCTTGTTCCTGTCTTGAGGTTTGTTATGAGTACAGAACCCACAACAGATGCATGACTACCAGAATAGCCTGCAGGTCGTTAAGTTGATCATTAGACATTCTTCAATTTTCACATCGTTCTACAGGAAGAAGTAATAAATGTTTGAAATCTGGAAGACAATTGACCTTTGATAAATTTTCGAGCTTCGTCTTTGTTCGATGGTTTCTCTCTAATTGTTCCTTCATAGACCACCACCTTAAAATCAATCAAATGCATTAGTTAAGACTTAAGAAACTTCTTAATAGGTTACTAGGCAATAAGAGACAATGTCAAAGAAAAACTGGATACCATAAAAAATAAAAATAAGTGCATCACGAATGGATATATATCCCTTGCACAACTGAAATTAGTAACTTGTTTGTTACCTAAGATGGATTTGGTACAACTTTTTGAAGCTTTTCAAAATGTTCTTACATAATTATAAGCGATTTTTGAGAATTCTAAAACTACTTGAAAGAATGAACACTTAATTGGCATTTTCGAAAAGTTATACTAAACTCACTCTAATATAATGCGAGTTAATGCAAATACTGAACGGGAAGAGGGAGTTAAAGCATACTGTGTCTGCAGTGAGTAACAGTGTTGCAGGTGCATCATTGTCCAGTTGAGCACCAGTGGCTAGAATTCTTGACATAATTGCATCTGCCTAAGAGAAATCAAGTGAAAACCATCAGATAGAAGCCCTTCTTTTGACCTTGTGAAAGACTAAAAGATATGAACATGTACTCCATAAGTAACCCCTCTCTTCCAAAGTTACAAGGGTTCCAATTGAGCATCTCATTGACAAAGTCCTTCGAAAAAAGAGCCTTATTCTGCAATTGATATGGTTACTATATAACCATAGCTTCAAGGACAAAAATATTCACAACAGATGAAAGTCCCGCAAGGAACTTTCTGTTAATTGCATAGTGCCTTGGATGTAATTAAAAGTAATTGTGCTTCTAAAGGAAATCAGTTTCGGGCTCAAACATGGGGTAAGTGTCGAATTCCTATCTACAGTCCCTTTTCCTTCAAATTGAGAATTCCTTAAGGTTCAGAGGATCAAGTTGAGTAACTTTGATGAAGGAATCGAGAGCTGAAACATCGTAGAACAGGCCATCCTGTTTACTTTCTAGTTACTAACTACCTCTTACAAATCAGGCTTGCTTGGCTCAACCACATTGAAAGGCTGCATGAACTATTAACTTCTCGACATGAATTACAAACGAGACTAAAGAAGTTGTTACTTTACTTCCAAGAACAATGCAAAAGATGAAATGGCAAGATATTAGAGCAAAGCCAAATGGTTCCCAAATTTACACTAGGAAAGTAAATAAGCCACACCTTTGCCTCAGCCAGAGCCACCACCAGTTCTTCAGGCCTTTCCTTCCTAATCGCTTTCTCATCAATGTCTGCCGTCTAACATAGAATAAGTCAAGTCAATCTTCCGATAACTAAACAAGGACGAAGAGGAATCCCCAATAAGAAAATTCACCATTATAGTGAACTCGTATCCCATCTCCGACAGAATACGCCGGCGAGCCATGGACGAAGAACCTAATATTATCTGCCAAAAATAACAACAAATGCACAAATTGGAATCGAAACAAATTTCGCCACAACCGACCTCGAAATACAGTAAAAGAAACAACAAATACAAATGATGAACACGAAAGCAGGTTCAAATTGCGGCAACATACTTCCCAAAAGTAACAATCATTTGATTAAGCCTAAGCGAACAACGCCGACGGAATAGTCTATAAATTTTTTATAGTGTAGAAACAATAGTGAACACACAATCTTGTAGCGGGAAATTTCAAACGGAGGTTCGTTCTTAAATTGCGAAAGACAAGCAAATGGTAAGGTAATAAAGCGAACCTGAAATGGAGATTTATCTGCGGCCATTTCTCTGCAATCTCAAGCTTCCTGGAATTGCGGCAGATAAGATTTCGAGCCTGAATCTCTAGAGAAAACCAATCCACGAAAACCGGAGCGAACTGCCTCTTGTTTTGTTTGTTTGTATTTTTTTTTTCTTTCCTTTCTTTCCTTTCTTTCACGTTAAAAAGCATAATTTTTTAAAGAGATAATCTATAAAGAGTTGACAGACGATTTTAGCCCATATATATTGATAGTAAAAATTTGTTTTAACTGTGTTAACCTTAATTTTAAAATTTACTACATTTTTTTTTAAGCCGGAGGACGATGTTTTTAAACCTTTTAAAAATAGTTGAAGAATATTAATGAATTGTTTTAATTAAAGTATATTTTTGAAACCCTTATATTTAAAAGTATTTTTATTAATTTAGCATTTCAGTCCCACCTAAATAAAATTCTCCGACCATGTAGGTTAAAGTAGGAAGGGATCCAACCACTTATTAGAATGATAATTAGTCTTTTATTTACGTATTTATATTCTCTAATGAGTAAATTGTAATCATTATATTCATAAGACCCGATGACTTGAACGATTTGGACTACCCAACCCAAACTATAAGGGTCGGGTTGTATTAGATTTTTTTAATAGTTCAAGTTAAAACTTTTGAAAACAAAAAATTCGATTCAGTTAGCGGTTTGAAACTTTTTTTTGTGGACGTTACCAACCAACCTAAAAATAGGGTTCACAGCTCGAGACAACCCTACCTTACTCTTAAGATTATTATAAATATTAAGAATATTTGACGTATGTACTAGACTATTATTAAAATTTGGACTATGACCGAACTTAACTCGGTCAAACTCTAAAGTAGAAAAAATAAAATTAAATAAAATAAAACAATAAACACATACCAAAAAGCAAAGAATATTATTATCATAAACATACCATTGTTAGATTGAACCAAAAAAAAAAAATAATAAATAAATAAATAAATAAATCAAAATCAAAATGAAAGAAATTGAAAAAGATGATGATATCAACAAAATAATACATTTTACATTAATAAGAAATTAGATGAAAATAAATCACAAAGAAAATAATGCTTCAAAATAAATAAATAAGAAATTAAATTAAGGCAGTTATATTTAGAATATCAATGCTCTAATTTGGTATATAATTAATATATTTAATGACATACTATATCATATCATATGTACTATTCATATATCTAAAATTAGAATAATAAAATTAAAAAAATAGATTTAATTTTTTTTCGCTATATATAGAAAGCTCCGAAACTATGGATAGTTTTACAATTGCCCTTAAAAGAAAAGACAAAAAATAATAATAATAATAAAAAATATATATACATATATTAGAAAATATCACTTTTATTATTATTTTCAAAGGTAGAATAGTGATTTTTCTTTTATTTTTGTTAAATTTAGAAACACATATTTTATGAAATTAATGTAAATGTCCAATTAAATTTTAATCATTAATAAAAAGTATTTTTTTTTTAATTATTAATAGTATAGGTCATATGAATTCTAATAAAATAGATCAAACGCATTGTTATAAAAACAATGATTTAAAAAAACTACCATATATTTTCTTTACATTGGACACCGACTTTTTCAATAAGAGCTACAAATCTAAGAAGGTAGTCTACCATTTTATGTTTCTCGACAAAAGAAAAAGAGATGGTTCTATTTGCTCTACAATAGTGAAATATATGAGCTTCTGACTACTTGATCGAGGTTATAAATCTTCACCCTAATTAAATTATGCTCCCGTTCATAAAAATTTCGATGTTTTTACTAAATCCGAAAATAAAGTTGTATCAGAATGCAGAATGCAGCCCAGAACCTGATTATAAGGATTTTTGGAGCATTGTATTCCAACTGACAAAGACAAGAAGAGGTGTAATGCTAAAGGGGAAGTTTTTGTAGGCACCAAAGAGCAGAAGGATACCGACTTTTGAAGCATACATACACATCTCAGGGGAATGATTCACAAACCAAGTTTAAACTCCAATGAAGAAAAACCTTGTGAGTTCTCAGATGAAACAACTAAAACTATGTAACTACACAATAAAGTCCACAAGGGTTTTCACAAATACAATATCGGCACGAGTACCTGATGCTTGCCTCCATGGTCGGAAATCATGGTCACGACCGCCACCTTGTTCGGCCCGGGCTTGTGAACCGAGAGAGATGAAGCCGGGGTATGCTGGCTGATGAGCAAGGAGAACAGGGTATGCTTGGATTAAATATGTGAAGCACTCAAGGCCATTACCTTGCATTGTTCATTCATGGCTACAAGTTGAGCCTCCTTCTTGTCAAGAAGGGCACTCAACCTCACGTTTTCTTCCATGAGTTTCTGGACCTCTACTTCTTTCTGCACTTTCTCACCCTCCAATTGAGTGGTCTTAGCAACTAGCCTGTGTTCATAGCAATCAATTTAAGAGCCTATGCAAAAAAAATTTAAGAGTAAACTACACAAAATGACGAGGAAAATTAACATTTCCATGGCTCAGCTTCATGCCACAAATCACAATATGTTCAGTCATATGATATTAAGTAATGCCACGGAATTTTCGGTGTGGCGTTCGTGTGAGAGATTCTATTCTGAGTATTATTATCTGAAGAACTTGACAAAGCTCATGGAGTGAAAACTGTTTGTCATCAATGCATTTTCCTAGACACAAGGAGCAGAAAGGAAATTTCATTACACGACACCGTCGAGCTACACATGTATATAAAGGTCTACCATAAGCTGACTCACAAGGCAATACAAGTACAAGAAAATCTTAGTGCATTGGAGAAATCTATGTGTAGTGCGAATCAAAAGAAAACGATATCGTCCAGGAAAACCTACAGAATAAACTGAACGTTAATGATAACCAAAGAAAATAACAAGCAAGGTCAAAGCAATATAACATTAAGAAAATGTACAAACCGTTCGAAGAGCCGCTCGATTGTCTGAAACTGTTTTTCTGATGACAAAAGTGTTTCTCTAACAGTAATGAGACTGCTGACATATGATTTCAAAGACTCAAAGTCCCGCTTAACACGACATAGTTCCTGCTCATTTTCAGCAGCTCTTTGCCTCTGTCTACACGTTTCTTCGACCAGATCCTCGACTCTCTGCTTCATTTCATTTAGAATTCCATTAGTACCCACAGAAAATTGTTCCATTTCCTCCAGTTTTGAGGACATGTTCTCAATCTGGATTGATTTCTTTTTAATTTCCTCCTGACCCAAATGAACCTTTTCCTTCTCTTCAGCAGTTTCCAATTCTGCCAAAATAACCCTCTTGACAAGTGCTTCCATTACATCTGAAACCATTTGAACAGACTTAAGTATTTGACCGATATATGCAGCATCTTGTTCATCCAATAAACCACATGGCTTGCCAATACCAACCAAGGATTCCTCTTCAGTACCGTCGAATGAAGAAAGATCGATACTCTTAGACCAACCAGACAGCGGTATTCCGCTTTTGTCAACTAATCCTACCCCTTCTAAATGCTTAATACCACATGAAGAGTGAGCCAAATGGGGTATCGCCAACATTCTCGCTTTCGATTTCAAGTATGTCAACAAAGAAGAAGTTGTCTTAACTCGTCGCCAGAGAACCTCTAGCTCCTTTCTCGAGTCATCCTCAGACCCTTCTATGCAAGCCTTTACCTCCATAAGCCTTGCTTGCAACACATCTACTTCGGATTGGCGCCTTTCCATTTCATGCTTCCAAGTTCCATTTGTTTCACTGAGCTGAGTTTTCAAAGCTGATAGATCAAGTTCTTCCTCTGTGGCCATAATCGTTCTGTCAAAAAACCTTTGCAATAAGAAACTTCAAACATAAGCTCCCAATCGGAAAACAATTGACATCTAAGAGACACACATTACAAACACGATCAGTGAAACACATTGAAATTACATAGATAACATCTAGGAAACAACGAAAACAGCATCTCCGAGGCTACATCGGACATAAACAAATTATGAGTCCATCAAAATTGGTTTAACTAAACCTTCCGATCAAAGATCGAGCAAACTAAATATGAATGCACACAAGACGATACAAAGTAAATCTAAAGCAAGACCGAGCTCAAAATTATCAGATTCCTTAAAAAAAAAAACATCCATCAAAGTCATCAGAACAAAATTCAAATCAATAAACAAAGACGACACAAAAGTAGTCTCATCGGCTCGAAACCCTAAAATCCGCTCACCAAACCCCAACTGAAAACCCCCCAAAACTCACCTGATCTAACACAAATTCCAGACTCGAAACAAACGGAAAGAACACAGAAATAAACTGCAAGAATGATCGAAATACTCACAGTGATGATGGAGAGCGCGAATTAGAAGCAGTTCAGAGTGGAAAAAGGAAGTTCAAAAGTGAGAAATGCAATCGAAAAAGGGAATTAGAAGGAAACGATTGAGAAGGAGAAGAACAGCAACAACACGAAGAAGAAGACGAAGACGAAGAAGGAATCAAACTGAAGAAGGGAAGATCGAATTGTCAGAACGATGTTGCGTTGGATTGTTACTGTTACCTGAAAAACAAGATTTCAACAAAAAAAAAAAAAAACCAATAATATGTAAATGGCCCAACCACCCTCTTCCTTTAACATTCTCTCTCTCTCTCCCGCTTATTTTATTTTATTTTATTATTTTTAATTTTATGTTTATTTTAAAATTCAAATATATAATTAAATTTTATTTTATATAATTTTTTTCAAACATAATTGATTATTCCTATGATTGTTTGGTGTTGGGTAAATATTAAAATTTTAAATTGAAGAGTAAAAAAATAAAAGTTAAATATTTTAATTGATTTAATAATATCAATTAATTTTTAAAATTTTAAAATTTGTTAAGAAATCAATTTAATAAATCGAGGGATTAAAATGTAAATAAATATCGATGACTATTGACTTTTCTCCCAATATAAATATATGCTTTATGACGTGTTGATTTGATCAAGCCAAGCCACAAAAATCGCAAACAATGTTTCTTTGCCTTTGAGGTTTTTATTTTTTATTTTTATATATACTTTTTAATTTTTCGTCTAAATTATATTAATTGGAAATTGTATTTTTTATTCAAAATTTAGTCTCTTCAAAAATAATTTAAATATGGATATTGGACAAAAATGTCCATAGAAATTTGAATTGAAATATAAAAAAAAAATATTTTACTCGACTCTTTGTTCAATATTTGAGGATTCTATTAGCATGACTAAGTTTAAGGGCATGACTCTGATACCATGTTTTAGATAAACAAACTCGATTCTCCACAATGGTATGATATTGCCCACTTTGAGCATAAGTTCTCGTGACTTTCTTTTGGGCTTCTCCAAAATGTCTGAGATAGTATTATTTGATTATAAACCCAAAATCATTCTCTAAATTAGCCGATGTGGGACTTTCATCCAACATGAAGAACACTTTTACCAGTTAGATAAATAGGGCCAGCGACGAAATTTATATCCCCATCTCATTCCAGCCTAAATCTTTGCTCCGTTCCGTTTAATATAAAGTATATTTTGAACTTAGATAATATTTAAACTATTTTTTTTTAATTTGAAGCTATTATAATATTAAAATTTGAATTTTTAAAAATTATACCGTGAAACAATATAGTTTATTGACTAAGTTACAGAATTTAAAATTATTAAACTGTCTAAATTGTTACTCCATATATTTGGATTGAACATTTTTTTAATTAAAAATAATTTTAAAGCACTTAAAACAATTAATCTAAAAGTATTTATAATAGTGGATTTCTAACTGAAAAATATTATTAAAATAATATATTAGTAATATTAAATTTATAATTGAAATTTGGAAACTAATTTATCCACATAAACTATTTTAAAATTTAGAAATTAATATTAAATTTAAACCTTTAATCGAATAAAATCAATATTTAAATGTAATTTCAAACTTGATTTAAAATCTAAAAAAAAAAAAAAAAAAAGTGACGAACTTGCTTCCACAGAGCCCTCTTTTCTTCTGAATCCGAAGTGTTCTCCATCTGTAATCGAAGCAAAAAAATTGAAGAACAACGACGAGGACGAAGAACAAGTGAGGAAGATGGGAACATTGGGAAAGGCAATTTACACCGTCGGATTCTGGATCCGGGAGACCGGCCAAGCCCTCGATCGTCTTGGTTGCCGCCTCCAAGGGAATTACTACTTTCAAGAACAACGTAACCTTCTTAATTTCCACTTTCTACTCTATCATCTTCCAAGTCTCACTATGCTATTAATGTTGTTATTGTTTTCCCACCGATTTTCATTTGGTGTTATCATTTGCGGTCTTCGATGTAATGGAAATATATCTTGATGTGTATTATTACGTTTGCCTTGTATGGACATTCGAACGAGAGTTTTGTTGGTTGGACAAGATTAAGAGAAGGCATGATCTTAGATATTGTATTGTGATTTTCGACTTGTAGATATGAACTGTTATAGTCTCTTATCATTGCTTAAGAGGAATGTGCATTTGTGTTTAGTGTTTGTTTGGTGAAACTGCCTCTGTGGGGGACGGTGTTGATTTTTAGGTTATGGTATTCGTCAGTTTAGGCTGTTCATCAAGTAATCTTTCAGAATACAGCACCATAAATTTAGAGAGCTTATGTTAGACATTAATTGTTGAGAACTTCACTTTAGGAAGCAGTAAAAGTTCACCATCATCATCTGTTATACCCAATGATTAAAATATCAATGTCGATCTTAATATTGGTATTTCAATTTTACATATATATGGATAAATTTTGTTATTGGTGGATACTTCCGTAAGTCTTGTTAAATTAATAATTAAGTTGTTTCTACTTCAAAACTCAGTTGATAAATCTTGTTATTAGTATTCATACTCATATTGAGATTAATAGATGAGATTCTTTTATGTTTTATGTACGTTCATAAAAGATATTGGAGATATCGATTAATCCTTAATATCAATGTTGAACCATCCGAGTTAAAGATATATCGACATCTGAATAGATATTTCAATCATTGATTATTCCGTAATCTGAGGGTTATAGTAGTTTGTTTGTACACGTTTTAGCTGTTTGGATTTAACTTGAATCCATCTTTTGTTGTGTGATAATGCATCCTTTTGTCACTCCTTTTTTCTCTTTAACTTGCACCTCCTATACTGAGAACTCCAATGTCAAAGAAAATAGATTACAAACTAAAGACTGTTGCAAAACACTTGCAAACAAGGGCTGTTGCAAAATGCTTCTTAGAAAGACACGAAAAATGGAAATAGCAAAACAATGCTGGTGCATTATGTTATGCTATGATTTCCCACCATCTCGTGGAGGGAAACCTTTGCCGCCCCTTGCACCACCTCTATTACAAAAGCCACCACACCCACAACCACCTTTATTACCACTTATACGCCCACAATGACCTCCACCATCAGTTTAAAATTCAATTTTGGTCATGTATATATTCAGTACTTGACTGAGGTTTTGTTATATACACTGCCAAATTGTATATGCCTTGGAGTTGAACCGTTGTTTTTGCTGTGCTCGGCTTTTGGTTTGAATTCTCTATAAGTAAATTATTCAAATGACATTATCTAATTCTGATTCTTATTTCTTTAGTATCTAGGCATAGGACGCTCATGAACATATTTGACAAGGCTCCTGTGGTTGACAAGGATGCATTTGTGGCGCCTAGTGCATCTATCATTGGTGATGTGCAGGTGGGACGGGGTTCCTCCATTTGGTATGGGTGTGTTTTGAGAGGTAAGCTTAACATTAGCCTATTTGAAGATGTTCATGTTGTTTCATTCCCTATATTTGGTAGTATGTTGATTTTGATGCCCCCCCCCCCCCNCCCCCCCCCCCCCCAAGATAGTTTTTCCAATTTCCAAAGTTCCTTAATGTGGACTTTACTCCTCATCAAATAGTGTTTAATAGTACTCATCCATTAATCTTGACGTGAAATTTCAATGTTATTTGGCTCTTGAAATTCATTTGATGGAATAATTTGCATGCCTGTTGAAGTAATGGTCATCCAGTTCTGGAGAAAATCCGATGAAAGCATGTTTGGTACTAAAATGTTTCAAAATATAATATTCTGAACAGTACTATAAGGCAAGAATATTAGAAGAAAAAGGCTGAAGATGAAATGTTTGTGATTTTTAGGTTAATACTGGTGCTTCATTATTGATTTTTAGGTCAATGCCATTTCAGCGAATGTAGTGAAATTTAGGTTCTAGGTTGTGCCTAAGCATGAGGTCTTGCAACAATTGAAACTCAGTTTGCTGTATTCTTGCTTGTTAGCAATTACCAATGTTTGTGTTCCTACGACCTATCACTATCAGGAATAGGACTTTTTTTGGGGAACATAACTGGTGTTTTTTCTGAGAAAAATAACCACACTTTTGAATGCAAATAGTAAATAACTCTACTCTTCTTATTGCCTAAATTTGTTTGAGTGAGAACTGTTTTTTTACCAGGTAACAACCATTTATCAGTAATTTGTTTGACCAGTTTGCTTTCCCTATCTTCTTCTTTCGCACCATTTGTTTATATTTGTCTAACTGCAAAATATTGTGAAGGTGATGTTAACAGCATTAGTGTTGGTTCCGGGACCAACATACAAGACAACTCTTTAGTTCACGTAGCAAATTCCAATTTGAGTGGAAAGGTTTTACCAACGATCATTGGAGATAATGTTACTGTTGGTGAGTGATATAATCTTGTTTAAAATGATATTAGTATCTATCACTCGATGTGTATGTGTTATGGTTTCAAATTTTAACTGGACAGGTCACAGTGCCGTGTTACATGGATGTACTATTGAGGACGAGGCATTTGTGGGGATGGGAGCGACATTGCTTGATGGAGTCTTCGTCGAAAAACATGCAATGGTTGCTGCTGGAGCACTTGTGAGGCAGAATACAAGGATCCCATGCGGAGAGGTCTCTCAATACTATCATTTTACTTTGTATCAGTGTATTTATCGGTCTTGAAGTTTATAGTCAAAGTGATACGGTTGTTACTTGACTCCCACAATTCTAGGATTGATGGCACAATTCACCATTCTCCAATGGAAAATTGCTCTTGTTTGTTTATGTGATTGAGAGAATGGTAGTTAGGAAGAGTATTAAAGGGATTGGGTCAAGTGTGTGAGCTGATCTATTTTGAGGTGTGGGTTCATGTAGTTACTAGTTTTTTATGATGTGGGTAAGATGTGTGCAAAAGAATATACACTTAGAGTGATGAGCGGGGTCGTTTTGGCTTTTTGCCGAAGTCTTGGAAGGAGAGTGTGAGATCTCTGAATCGTCCCTTGGATACGAACCCTTCTCCATTCTATAAACTAATTTGCTTCTATCATGTTTGAAATAAATTATTAACTATTAGTAGTGCAATCACAGGTATGGGGAGGCAATCCGGCCAAATTCCTGAGGAAGCTTACAGAAGAAGAGATGGCCTTTATCTCCCAGTCAGCCATTAATTATTCGAACTTATCACAGGTTCATGCAGCTGAAAACGTAAAGAGCTTTGACGAAATTGAATTCGAAAAGGTTCTTCGCAAGAAGTTTGCTCGTCGTGATGAAGAGTATGATTCAATGCTGGGCGTTGTTCG